TATTAGTCCAGTGGTTTTCAACTGGTATTGGTTCAGGACCCAGAGTTTACCTTGTTGTGATCAACACAAAATCCAACATAAAATCCACATTGAAATGTATCAAATCAACATGAACCCCATAGGCCCAACAGTATGCAAAATTATTCTGTTTGGTTTCTAAATGTCTCAAATTCTGATGGCATACAATAATTCACCATAAAAAAGCATTGTGGTCAGCATAAACCATATTTATACTAGTTGCAAGTGAACCCATAATTAAATCGTGATTAAATCATGATATGGCTTAGTGAGATTATCAAATCGCAAAGGCTGAGACTGACTTAAATATATGAGCTGTGTGTTTCATAGTGAACACGAGCAGCTCATAAAATAAACATGAAATAAAAAACAGCTAGTTGCCAAAGCAATGATGATGTGCTAAAACAACTCAAACAGAATTAAAATAGTAAAATCTAGATAGACATATTTAAATAAATCAATAAATAAAAAACAAAAGTCCATATCTAAATTTCTAAACATTGAATTAAAGTTCAAATGAAAAGTAAAAATACAAAAAAACAAAGACTAAAAACTAAAATTCAAAGTATTAAGGTGCCCCCTAGTCTCCTACAACAGGTTTACATGCATGCAAGGTCAAAAAACACTTTTGTTTTCTCAAAATATGCATTTAATCACCTCATTTTCCAGTGATTCTCAAATAATTCATTCGAAGCAGTTCTAAGATTCAGTCTCTCTAAACCCCTCCTCTCTGTGAGCCTACTCTGCTCTGATTGGTCAGATGGCCCAGTCTGTTGTGATTGGTCTACGTTTCAGAAATGATACGCCCATTGCCATAGTTCTATATTTTGAATACTTGATAGAAAATATAATCATCTATTATTTATCATACTCACAGGTTGTGATTCAGTGGAGTCAGCTGGTCCAAATAAACTGGGCACTGATCCATCTTTCAAGAGCAAGTGTTTTGTGAATCCTGCATTGAACTCCATGAGATTAGAGAAGCAGTCCTCAGTAAAATGACGGGGGAAAAAATAATAAATTGGGGTTGTACTGCTGTTATACAGTGGAAAAAATATATATTAGCTACTGATTCTTTGCAGCCTCATCTTTCAGAAGTGAAAATATAACAAATTTACTTTCACAGCGCAGGAGTCGATTCTTTCTTTTGGGAGACAGTAACTTAATTTCGACTTTCCAGCTTTGCAACTTTGCAGATCGTTTACATTCACATATCTCTGTGAGCCTACTCTGCTCTGATTGGTCAGATGGCCCAGTCTGTTGTGATTGGTCTACGTTTCAGAAATGATACGCCCATTGCCATAGTTCTATATTTTGAATACTTGATAGATAATATAATCATCTATTATTTATCATACTCACAGGTTGTGATTCAGTGGAGTCAGCTGGTCCAAATAAACTGGGCACTGATCCATCTTTCAAGAGCAAGTGTTTTGTGAATCCTGCATTGAACTCCATGAGATTAGAGAAGCAGTCCTCAGTAAAATGACGGGGGAAAAAATAATAAATTGGGGTTGTACTGCTGTTATACAGTGGAAAAAATATATATTAGCTACTGATTCTTTGCAGCCTCATCTTTCAGAAGTGAAAATATAACAAATTTACTTTCACAGCGCAGGAGTCGATTCTTTCTTTTGGGAGACAGTAACTTAATTTCGACTTTCCAGCTTTGCAACTTTGCAGATCGTTTACATTCACATACAGCTACATTACACACTGCATGAAAGGAAATAGTCGAAATGGCATACTAGGGGCATTTAAAAAAAAAACTGTAATAAACTCTAAATTATATTAAAATATCACTAAGATGACTGCTTTTTTTTTCTTTTACTTTTTTGTGAATTAGGTCACCATTCATCAGTTGAAGAATAATAAATTGGGGTTGTACTGCTGTTATACAGTGGAAAAAATATATATTAGCTACTGATTCTTTGCAGCCTCATCTTTCAGAAGTGAAAATATAACAAATTTACTTTCACAGCGCAGGAGTCGATTCTTTCTTTTGGGAGACAATAACTTAATTTCGACTTTCCAGCTTTGCAACTTTGCAGATCGTTTACATTCACATACAGCTACATTACACACTGCATGAAAGGAAATAGTCGAAATGGCATACTAGGGGCATTTAAAAAAAAAACTGTAATAAACTCTAAATTATATTAAAATATCACTAAGATGACTGCTTTTTTTTCTTTTACTTTTTTGTGAATTAGGTCACCATTCATCAGTTGAAGACCACTGCAATAGGGTCGACCATTGCATAGTGATCGAGGTCGCTAGGATAAAGCAATAAAAAAATAAATATACATCAAAAATAACAAATCAAAAAAGTCTGTCGTTGAAATGACAGACAGAGACCACCATGACCCATGGACACATTATTTTTGAATCATTGATTTGTATTTGTATTGAGGTTACTTTGTCTGTCATATGTGTCTCATCTAACATTTTGAAATGCTAATTTCCTTCAAATCAGTGGGAATTCCCATCACCCTTTGCAGCTAATCAAGTGATGTCTCAGGAAGTCACTTGTGAAATAACTGGGTCTGTCTTCTGTTACACAATAACTTAATTATTACATACACAATAATGTAATTATTCACAATTTTACAGTTAATGCATCGATTAGTGGAAACTGCTGGTTGTCTCATTGGGGATATCTTGTGGTGCAAAATAGGAGCTGTTGATGACTAATTCTTTCACTATTCAATGAGACCTCACAGTTTTAGTTGTTTTAATTCTATTTTTGCCTTTTAGTCAGAATTACAGTTCATAATGGTCTCTGCAGCAATAGCCAATGGACAGACTGAGTAAATGTAGTTTTTTTCCCAAATGAGTGTGTGAGAAAGAGCAAGTGCTCAGACCATTCAGATGAGCTCTCTGCCACGAGCACTGTTTATCTTGGTTTCCGTTGCTGCTCAGAGCACTTAAAACAAACGCCCACCTACACTGAATTCTGACTGGTTCATTAGCTGCAAAAGACACCTACATGCCTCAGATTGGCTCTCAACAGCCTCATTTGATTTATTACAATCATTTTAGTCTTTTGTTTGTATTTAATGACGATTTTGAAATTGCTTGGTCAGAGCCTAGACCTCAATTCAAGTGAAAACCTGTGGTTTGACTTGACAATTGCAGTCTACAAATTCTCTCTGTCTAATTGGAACAAATTTGCATCGCAAAATAGGCTAAAATTCCACAAATGTGAAATACACAAGAAGGCTCACGACTGTAATGGTTTATTAATTATTATTAATTGATTTAAGTACTGATGTACAATGACGTTTTATTATTTAGAATTTATTATTTTTAATAAAGTCTCTTATGTGCATTTATTTGGTCAAAATACAGTAGAATATATGTGACCCTGGACCACAAAACCAGTCTTAAGTCGCTGGGGTATATTTGTAACAATAGCCAAAAATACATTGTATGGGTCAAAATTATAGATTTTTCTTTTATGCTAAAAATCATTAGGATATTAAGTAAAGATCATGTTCCATGAAGATATGTTGTAAATGTCCTACCGTAAATGTATCAAAACTTAATTTTTGATTAGTAATATGCATTGCTAAGGACTTCAGTTGGATAACGTTAAAGGTGATTTTCTCAATATTTAGATTTTTTTGCACCCTCAGATTCCAGATTTTCAAATAGTAGTATCTCGACTAAATATTGTCCTATCCTAACAAACATACATCAATGGAAAGCTTATTTATGCAGCTTCAGCAGATGATGTATAAATCTCAGTTTTGAAAAATGTACCCTTATGACTGGTTTTGTGGTCCAGGGTCACATATAGTGAATTATCACTTCTAATTATCAGTGCTGGAAAATATGAATAGACCTGCATTTCAAATGTGAGGTGTGTCATATGTGAAAGCAATTTTTCAAACATTGTTGTTTTCCATTCCTAGAAATACTGAAGGGTGGAATCAAATTTGCCAATAACAATCATTTATGTAACGTGGAGAGCATCCAGTGGATTGACATTCTGAACATGAAGAGTCAGCCTAAAATCAAAGAGCCAGAACCAAGCTTAGCAAGACAATGTATGTCCCTCAGGAGTCATACATATATATTAAATGGTACTAATTCATTTTGCATTTTGAATACGAATGTTCTACTTTACCTCCCACAGGTAAGAAGTGTGATCCAAGCTGTTACAATGCTTCCTGTTGGGGCCCTGGTCCCCAAAACTGCCAAAAAAGTAAGTGGTCCTCAACTTATTAAGTGATTAAATCCATTTTTTTTTTTACATTTTAAATCTTACTGAATTAGTGACAACATACTATTTAGAATCGTTTCATAAAAATATAATGAAAATAAAACATAAAAAATATTTCAACAGTTAGTGACTGGAAACAACATACTGAATACAGTACACTACTGTTCAGAAGTTTAGAACTGAAATCTCTTATGCTCACCAAGGCTGCAGTTATTTGATCAAAAATATAGTAAAAACTGTAATAATGTGATATACTATTACTACTTAAAATAACTGTTTTCTATTTCATATATTTTTTAATTGTATTTCTTCCTGTGATGGCAAAGCTGAATTTTTAGCAGCCATTACTCAAGGCTTTAGTGTCACGTGATCCTTCAGAAATCATTCTATTGTAAAAATTTGGTGCTCAAGAAACATTTTCGTATTATCATCAAAGTCAAAAACTGTTGTTCTGCTTAATATTTTTATGTAAAACATGCTTTTTTCAGGATTATTTGATGAATGGAAAGTTCAAAAGAATAGCGTTTGTTTAATATAGAAATCTTTATAAATTCTTTGATCAATTTTGATCTTTTTTTTTATTAAACACCTACAATTTTGAATGGTAGTGTACTATATTGAATTCTTGCATTCTGAAGATTAATATTTTAGGCAACCAGGGTTAAAATATAAAAAACACATTCCAGTTCCATTACAGTCTTCAACTGTTGCTCAACTTTGGTTTCTGAATAACATCTCAAAAAGCAGGATAACCATGACAGAATGGTTTGATGCATACATCAGTTTCTTTTGTGTTGTGTTGTGTTGTGTTGTGTTGCTCTTGTTGGTTGTGGTTAATGATTCTGTCTGGAGTGACTGCTTGTTTGATGTTGTTTTTTTCTCAGACAACTATGTCGTGACAGACCATGGGGCATGTGTAAGAACATGCAGCCCTGGCACCTATGAAGTGGATGAGGGTGGAGTTCGGAAATGTAAGAAGTGTGATGGCCTGTGTCCAAAAGGTACAGTTGAGACTGCTGTGTATTTATTCATTATTCCACCCCATCCATTTGAATATTACTGGAAATAATTTTTAATATATATTAAAAATGTGTTTTTTATTTATGTTTGCCTTTCTTTTCAGGATAGTTGAGAAACACACATTTTAGTTTTAATTTAGTGTTTACAAAAGTAATGTCATTTAAGGTTTGCCCTAAAGGTTTTTAAGATCAGTCAAGTGTGTCTAAACTTTTTACTGGTAGCATAAGTTTTGAATTTATTATTGGCTTCACGGCTAATTCTTTACCTACGAAAGAAGTTGCAGTTAATATTTAATATGTTTGCTACCATCCCTCTAGTTTGCAATGGGCTGGAAATGGGGCCTCTGGCCAATGTCCTGTCAATCAATGCCAGCAACATTGATTCCTTTGAGAACTGCACAAAAATCAGCGGAGGTGTTGCAATTCTCACCACAACATTTAATGGGTGAGAAGGATGTTTCACATTCTCTGATAACCAAGAATCGATTACAAATTGTTTAGTACCATTCCATGTTGCTTAAAAACAATTATACTATGAATATGTTCCATTTTTGAATTATTTATATGTGACCCTGGACCACAAAACCAGTCTTAAGTCGCTTGGGTATATTTTTAGCAATAGCCAAAAAAACATTGTATGGGTCAAAATGATCGATTTTTCTGATATGCCAACAATCATTAGGATATTAAGTAAAGATCATGTTCCATGAAGATATTTTGTAAATTTCCTACCATAAATATATCAAAACTTAATTTTTGATTAGTAATATGCATTGCTAAGAACTTCATTTGGACAACTTTAAAGGCGATTTTCTCAGTATTTCGATTTTTTTGCACCCTCAGATTCCAGATTTTCAAATAGTTGTATCTCGGCCAAATATTGTCCTATCCTAACAAACCAGACATCGAATTTATTCAGCTTTCATATGATGTATAAATCTCAATTTCAAGAAATTGACCCGTATGACTGGTTTTGTGGTCCATGGTCACATATTTGTGTGATTGAGCCAAAAAAATATACAAACTCTTTGATATCCTTTTTATTATTATTATTATTTACAGTGACCTGCATACTGAAACTCCAAGACTGGACCCGGCCAAGCTCAATGTATTTAAAACTGTAAAAGAAATCACTGGTGAGAATGCAGTGGTTTAATATTGGACATTTGTAATGATTAAAATGATGTGTCATGTAGGGGAACTTTGGCCCCTCAGTGTTCATAAATCTTCCTGAAGATCTCATTCCTCTCCCAACTCAAAGGCTACCTGGTGATTCAGCAGTGGCCAAAAGACATGCCGTCCCTCAGTGCCTTTGAAAACCTTGAGGTCATCCGTGGACGTACAAAAAAGCAGTAAGTTAATAAAAAATACTGCAGTCTCAAATATGTCGGCAATCTCAGAGAATTTTGACATTACGACATAAATGAATGATTTTGTTCTTGCTCCCACAGAGGTGCATTCAGCTTTGCTGTCACCCAAACTGAAATCACATATTTTGGCCTGCGTTCTCTGAGGGAGATCAGTGACGGTGATGTGGTCATCTCTCAGAATAAGCATCTCTGCTACACCAGCCCTGGCCACTGGAAACACCTCTTCAAATCTAAACAACAGATTGTCAAAATGTCATTAAATGCTGATGCTGCCACCTGTGGTAATGAATTAAAACAATTACACTTTTCAAATAATTTCAATTTAGTTCACCCAAAAATGACAGTTCTGTTTTAGGTTACTCACCCGTATGTCATCCCAAACCTGCACTGTATGTGGCTGTTTTTTTTCTTTCTGTAAAGCACAAAAGGATCATTTTTAAACAATTTTCACACAGTCACTCTTTTCCAAACACGACTCATAGTGACCACATCTGTCCAGCTAAAAAAAAACACAAAATATCATGAAAGCTCCATAAATGTAGTTCATATAACTTATAATTAACATAAAACATTTTTACAGGTTTGGTGCATGAGTAAATAGTACCAGAATTCTCTCTTTTGGGTGAGCTACAGTATTCCTTCAAATACAAGCATCCATTTTTAATGGACTGTTTTACATTTTTGCTTTTACAGACATTTGACTCAAGGTTGACTCATCTGACTGAGGTTGATTTAAAACACATGCTCTATCTTTTGTGTTGATATCTTATCTAAATGTCTGTGTTACAGCGAATCAGAACAGCACATGTGATGAGATGTGCACAAATGATGGCTGCTGGGGTCCTGGTCCCACTATGTGCTTCACCTGTAAGCATTACACCCGTAAAAAACACTGTGTGGCTTCCTGCAACCTGCTGGCTGGGTGAGTGAGAGCTCTGTTATGCCTTCTCAGTTTATCCATGTTTAAACTCAAAATAACAGCTCTACAATAGGCAATGTCTCCGATTGCAAACATTTAAATCCTTATCTTGAATTTTTTAACCTGCATTTTTAATGCAGGTTAAAAAAATAAACACACTAAAAATGATCATTCTGGCAGTCTCATGCCATTTCAATATGTATGACTTTTGTTCTTCTGCAGAACATAAAGATTTAAAGAAGAATATTTGAGCTCAATGCAAGTAAATGGTGAAGATTTTTAAAACTTTGAAGGTGCAGAAGTCACATAAAGGCAGCATATATTGCATTTTGCATTCAATCAATAATATTTTTATTATTATTTTATTTAATCAATAAAATAATAAATAAATGTTTATTTATTTATTTACTGTATGTATTTATTTATCTGTCTGTCTGTATGTATGTTTTTTCTGTTTGTTTATTTTTTATGTAGTAAACCACTAATTTTATTTTGTGATTATGGTCAGCTGACTATACATTATCCCTTACCTTTTTGGCCTACTTTTAATGAAAGGAACATAGAAACAGGGCAAGGAAATGTCTGTAAAAGTGGCACAACTATTTAGTGAATTTGCTCCTTTAGCTGTACTTTTGGTGTTAAGTGATTTTTTTGGTCACACTTTAGTTTAGGGACCAATTCTCACTATTAACTAACTATTAACTGACTTTTGCTTCGATAACCTCCTAATTACTGCCTATTAATAATTAGTAAGGTAGTTGTTCAGTTTAGGTGTGGGGTAGAATTAAGGGCTGTAGAATATGGTCATATGTAGAATAAGGCATTAATATGTGCTTTATAAGACCTAATAAACAGCCAATATATGCAGTAATAAACAGTTAGTAGTAATATGCATGCTAATAAGCAACTAGTTAATTGTGAGAACTGGTCCCTAAACTAAAGTATTACCATTTGTTTTTTCAATGATGATTTCAACTATATTGACCAGAATGCATTTCTGTCCATACAGTGAGCCACGTGAATATGAGGTCAATCAAACGTGTGTCGAATGTGATCCTGAATGTCTGCTCATGAATGAAACCCTGACCTGCACCGGCCCTGTAAGTATCAAACCAGTCCTACAGTACCACATGTTCTGCTGTCAGTAAATAGTGTTTATTCTTATTTTTTTTAAAGCTGATGGCAGCACACCAGTCTCTCAAGCCAATGTTTTCTGTCCTGGAGACACATCATTAAATTCACATCTCTTGAAGACTGTAGAAAAGTTGCTTGTTGCCATCTAATTTCCAGCTTTTGTCCAGGGACCCGACAAATGTACTGTTTGTGCAAACTACAAAGATGGCCCGCACTGTGTGCCGCGCTGCCCGCAAGGCATACCGGGAGAGAAAGACATACTCATTTGGAAATACGCTGACAGGATGCGAGTGTGCCAGCCCTGTCATGAGAACTGCACCCAGGGGTGAGAGAGGCATCGTATATGATGCGAATGTAATGACATGAAACGGTCATTTGTGCAATTTAACCAGGTTCATCAGGGATTGCAGCGTGCACTAGTTGTGATTGATGAATTTCCTGTTTTGCTTTGCAGATGTACTGGGCCTGATCTGAAAGACTGCAAAGATTTCAAAGGGTAAGAAGTGAATCTGTCTCGTAATACTCTGTTGTATACTTCTCCACTTTTCCAGAATATCCCAAGAACCACAAGAATGTTCATCCTCATAAATCGCCATAGTTTCTGTCGAAAAAAAAAGTAATAAAGAGGCTGTGAATTAGAACATATTTTTAGAAAATGATACCAAATACTCAAGCCTTTATCACAGTGGATGTCTAGGAATAAATGAAAATGATGCATATGGTGAGAAATAAAGGAAGATATCCTTCTTGAGGGCAGTGTGCCTTTCTGCTGAATTGTAACAAATATAGAAATGATTTTAGCATGTACAGGATGATGATGCATTGTCCAATATATTATTAGGGGATATGAATAGAAAACATTAACTAATTTAGTTTTTATATCAGGAAATCGAAAAACCATGAAAAGTTGGATGAAAAAAGCCCCGCAGAGAATGCTTATTTATCTGAGCTGTCATCTGATTTTTGATTTTGAGTATGCAAAATCCATCCATCATTTGACAGTCTGTCTTTAATAATAAAATATATTTATTAAAATGTAATATAGTATATATGTTAAATATTTCTTAATAAATTGCCAAAATTATATATATATATATATGTATATATATATAATTTTAAGGTCCAATTCTCACCATTAACAAACCATTAACTATGACTTTTGCCTCAATAAACTCCTAATTTGCTGCTAGTAAGGTAGTTAGTAAGGTAGTTGTTAAGTTTATGTATTGAGTATGATTTGGGATGTAGAATATGGTCGTGCAGAATATGTGCTTTATAAGTACTAATAAACAGCCAATATGTTAATAGAAGGCATGCTAATAAGCAACTAGTTAATAATCAGAATTGGTCTCTATACTAAAGTGTTACCAAAATATAAGTTATGAATAATGAAAATGGTTGAAATATACATATAATTCACGGATTAATTAAATGTTAAATCCATGAATTATAATAAATCAATACATTTTTAATAATTCATAAATAAATTATTAAATTAAACAACGAAAACAGCAACATGCCACTGAGAATCTCCGTCCCAATTCTGATGGGGTCCTCTTATTCCTACGGTTTAACTTATTTCTTATTATTTCTAATCATCCAATGACAAAAAAAATGTTAAACTCAAAACGAGTTTGAATGGAATAATTCTCCCAAATGTTGATGTTCAGATGAAAATTCAACATCAATAAGAGCATAACTACTCAATCAATTTTGAGATTTAGTGACATCTATGGTCAAGAGAGGACCGTCTTCCACTACATGCAAAAAGTTTAACTCCGTAATGTTCCTGTAGTTCGGCTTTGCCCATGATTGCCGCTGGTGTGGTTGGAAGTCTGCTGGCGTTTGTTATCTTGGGTCTAGGAGTTGCTGTTCTACTGCGCAGACGGCACATCAAAAGGAAGAGAACCCTACGACGACTCCTGCAAGAAAGAGAGGTAAGACCTCAAGACAACCATAATCTGAATATTCTGAGGATCTACTGTTAAACAACCAAACGCTTATGATATGTGCACACCAAAAGCTAAGTGAATATTCGCAGTGTGTTACTCGCTCTAGATTACATGCAGGATGTAATTCACATCTTTGCTTTGATTTTGGATGTTATCTACTCGAGCAAATAATTACATTTGCTTTTGGTGTGCACACACCATTAAAGGAAGAGAGCTGGCAGAGCTTGGTGAAACCATGTAAGATCAATTCAGTGAATCCAGCTTACTGTTGTTGTGTCAACAGTGAATATTATGAATGCTGATGGAAATCAGTCATTGAGGTGCAATAGCTTCCGTGAATACAGATAAATGCCAGCCCATGCTAATTCAAAGACAGGATGTGTGTTTATGTGTGGAGGGGAGCTTTTCTGACTCTATTTGTCTCTAAAGCTAGTGGAGCCTCTGACCCCCAGTGGCGAAGCCCCCAACCAGGCCTTGCTGCGCATCCTCAAAGAGACGGAGTTCAAGAAGATCAAAGTGCTTGGGTCCGGAGCTTTCGGCACTGTGTATAAGGTGACTAACCTCCCTTTAAAGGGATAGTTCACTCAAAAAAGAACATTCTGTCATTTACTCACCCTTCATACAGGTTTGGAAGAACTTAAGGGTGAGTAAATGATGACAGAATGTTCATTTTTGGGTGAACTGTCCCTTTAAGGTTGCTTATTTAAATATTTGTTGCTACGTTCTTTTCTTCTTTCCTCTTTTGATGCCTACTTAATTTTCTCTAGATCTGTAGAGATGTAGAAATGTTATCTTTTTATCTCAGGATGATTTCAGCTGTGAAACCTCATCGGTTACAACACACTGGGTGTTGCTTTGTTTGCGACATGAAATATTAAGACATAGATGTCTGTTCCTGCAGGGCTTGTGGGTTCCAGAGGGAGAGAGTGTGAAGATCCCCGTCGCCATTAAGGTCTTACGAGAAGCCACGTCTCCCAAAGCAAACACGGAGATCTTGGATGTGAGTATTAGAGTCTGAATCTCAGTTTTTGTGCTGTCACATTTGACCTTATTCACGACTTAGACTGTGACTCAAGGTCTTGTTTTCAGTTTACTGCTGAAAATACTGCATAGACAATTAAAGAGGCTTTAACAAGTGACATACTAAAAGATAGTTGAACAATTAAGGCTGGCTGAAATTGCCAAACAATTGAAGTTGTTTGCAGTTGCCACTTGGTTAGATATTTTGTATCTAATGCAGTGAAGTTAGCTTTTAAGTGTGGCTTAAATTTCCAAATACTTTTTGGGACACTGTAATCTGGACTCATATTTTTTATATGTGCTAATTACTAGGGATGCACGATATTATCAGACCAATATCGGAATCGGCCGATAAAGGCTTTAAATGTAAATATCGGCATCGGCCCAATATGAAAAATTATGCCGATATGTCTTGCCGATAAGAGGAATACATTAACTCACATGTGCTCAGGGTGTGCTAGCGATTAGATCACATCAACAGTGCGATTAGATCACGTCAGCAGTGTGACTCATTTTTGAAGCAAAGTTTTACCTGAATGGTGATTGGAGTCACTGTTTTGAATCGCTGCATTTAAACTGAGAATACAGAATGATGCATTTGGTGTGTGATATAGTCAACAGTAATAGCACATGCAGCGGCAGCCTCCCCCGGGTCCTAATGCCCATTCGGTTTTAATTCCGTAGGGGGCGCTGTTGGCCTACTTCTAATAAAATGAAAGCAAAATACACAAATAATATTTAGACTGTGTTTGATTAAATAAAGCAGTAATTGATGCCATAAAATCATGAGTATGTTTTGATTTAAAGGTCAGATGCTATAGCTTACATGAACAAAATTAAATAAATCACAAACATGAAACTTAAATTAAATAATTTTATATATACTGATTTATTCATTAATGTGTAATATGTTATATTTTTTAAACAAATTATGAGCTCTAAAAGATTTTCAGAATTTTTACAACTCTTTTGCTTTAGACCATAAAAACATTTTAAATCTTAAAATAAAAATGTTAAGGTTACCACTGCATCTTTCTGAATTTTTTTTTTTAAATGCAGTGATTGAATATAGTTTATTTATAGTTATTTTCAATGTACTGTCATTATAAAATAACTTCATTATTGTTTATTTAATTCTAACAAATTCTAAGTTCTTTTTAAAAACTAACCAAAATTAAAAATAATTTGCTTATAATTTCTGCACAGGAGAGACTTGGTGTTGTTTCCAAACAAAAGGAAATATATCGGTATCGGCATCGGTTATCGGCCAAAATGAGTTGAAAAATATCGGCATATCGGATATCGGCAAAAATACAATATCGTGCATCCCTACTAATTACTCAAGCCTGCTTTAGCGAGTGAAAGAAAACATTTTAAATTTTGACAAAATTTGAAAGTTGGCTTTGTATTTCACTAAAATCAAACACTTTTCTCTACATTCTTTGCCTATAATGTGATTATTCATGCATCTGTGCTGTATCTGTGTGGTCCAGTTAACATCAATCAACAATCAATTATTTCAGTAAGCACAGACAGTAAAATCAACATTTCGTCATTCTAGTTAAGATGATGATTGTGCAGAAAAGGCCTTATTCTCCAATGACGAGTGCAGCTGAATTTTATACTACATAACCTTGAGTTAAAGGGTAACCTGACCAGTTCCAGTTCAGAGTTGATATAGAACAGAAAACTTGGAGGAGGAATTCCTGCTTTCTGCATGCGCTTCATCACTGCAACAGCAAACAAGACCTTTCTAGCACAAAGAATGTAATTTCCTCCAATATTCTCTTTGATTGTGAGGATGTGGCTATGCAGGCCGCTTCTCAAGGTCACTTTGAAGATAACTCATGCATGTAAACACCCAGTACAGTATAACTTTTTGAGAGTCTGCAGAAACTGAAATCTAACAGATCTGCACAGTCCTTTGAATATTAAAAAGAAAAAAAAAGAATGGAAAAAATAAATGAAATAGAGACTGAGATTGAGACCAGTCACTCCCTCATTTTTTGAAAGGAAAAGGTTATTGGTAATGGCACTAAGTTCTCTTGAAAAAAAAACAAAAACAGTTTATGTTTCTGCGAAGTTTACTTTTTCCTGAAGCGTTTTTCTTCAGAACTCCAGGCCTCCATCCCTGCAAATATTTTGTAATGCGCTCTAATTAGGCACCTCATTTGTTAGTTTTAAGTCTGTAGGGACTATACACAGCGACTGTATTTGTCAGTGCTGCTGTATACTATATATATGGTGCATTTGTGCTGACCTCATTTGTATGTATCTAAAGGAGGCCTATGTGATGGCGAGCGTTGAGCATCCTCACGTGTGTCGTCTGCTCGGCATCTGCTTGACCTCCACAATCCAACTTATCACCCAGTTGATGCCCTACGGCTGTTTGCTGGACTACGTCAGAGAAAATAAGGACAACATTGGCTCTCAACACCTGCTCAACTGGTGTGTGCAGATTGCTAAGGTAAATGGATTGTTCTTTTAATTGTGTATTTTTATTTAATCTCATCTCTTCTGCTAACCAATGAGTCATTTTGTTTGATGATGAACATGTTTTGAGATGTCAATTTAATGTGTCAATTTAATAAATATTCTAATATGTTGTTATTTTTATTTTATTATTTAAATGTATTCTTTTAAATAAAATTATTAATTACAATTATTAGCAGTTCATTTGATTGATTATTAATTGATATGCTTCTCTAGTTTAGTTTACACCACAGTATTTTCTCCCATTTCTCAATTGCCCTATTTGAAAGAAGGAAAAATGTGAAAAATGCAGTTTAATACATCATGTTTAAAGTAAAACTAGAAGATGTATGAATATATTTTTAGATTTAGAATGAACTGATATGCCTATCCAGGTTTCTTGCTGATGATAGGTAACTAAAAATAGGTAATATCACTCACAACTCACAAATATTCAAAAATTTTAGTCATATCTAATTTCTGAAGTGCAAATCAGTAGCTGTGAAGATTCTTTTAGCAGACAGGCTGCACTGCTGAGGGAATAACATTTCTTTTTTGAGAGAAACTTTGATCAGAATATGACTAGAAAATATAGCGATATGGTTGATATGATGATTTAACATTCCGAGAAAAGCCTGATCAAATATACTTTCATGTTCTCAAATACTGTCTGACTTTTTTGAATATCATCAATTTGCACAGTAATTTCTGTAACAGTTGTGTTTCCGTTGTGGCCGCCCCAGTTTAATTTACGTTTTCCCTTATCAGGGCATTCTTAGAGCCTATTTACATTTACTTTAGTCACTTTACAGTCGTGATTAGTCAGTTTGCTATCAGATTCGGTATGTAAGTTCCATTTACATTCAAAATGCATAAAAATCTACTATTCATAAATGCAAATAATAGGAAATCATTCACTTCTGTGATTTTTATTTGTTTTGTTTTTTTAAAGCTGCATATTGAAGTATTGCAGTGTTTGATTACCACTATTTTTCCCTCCATGTGTCTCCATATGATGACATTGTTCCGTTTGGATCTGATAAAGGTTCTGTATGTGGCTCATAAACACTTTACACTTGGTCTTTTCATGATTGCATGATCGAACTGCCAAATGTAAATGCTCCTGTATCATTAAATATTTAGAAGCTTTTAGCAGACGCTTTTATCCAAAACGACTTACAGTGCATTCAGGCTAATGCGAAAACTGCTGATAATACTGAGGGAACTTATATATGAATGCTTAGATAGGTGTCGTATTCCTATAGGTAGATGGGGACCAGCTGATAGTCAGCTAATGCGCGCTTGACTAACGTGACCTGCCAGAAATAACGCTACGCTTGATTTTTCACACATGAAACCCATTAATATGCCATACAATTGTTAAATCTATTTTTCCAGTAAAGGTATCCCATCTATTTGGAAAAGCAATGGCTTTGTGTGTTTTATACATATTGTTTCCATAAATCAATTGTTATAAGGGGGAACCAGTGACAGATTTAGTTCCCTCTGTAAGATAAGATATGAAGAAAGCATGAAAAACATTTTTTTTATCTACTTAGCAATTCATCATTCTGTATATAGCTGTAGTAGCGTTGACTCTTTATTTAGGGATGCATTGATCATTTAATACCGATTTTTACTTAATTATTAATATTATTATTATTTTATATTATTAAATTGATAATATTGTCAAGTTATGGCTGACTAACTTCGTTAACACTTTAGAATAAGGAACACTTATTCACTATTAAATTAGACTTTTCCCTCAATAAATTCCTAATTTGCTGCTTATTAATAGTTAGCAAGGTAGTAGTTAAGTTTAGGTATTGGGTAGGATTAGGGATGGAGAATAAGGTCATGTAGAATAAGGCATGTGCTTAATTAGTACTAATAAATGGCTAATATTCTAGTAATATGCATGTTAATAAGCAACTAGTTAAGAGACCCTAAAATAAAGTGTTACCCTAACTTCAAATGACATATTGTTTAATTAAATTCAAAATAAAACACTATCATTCTAATTTCTGAAAGTAAATTTAGGCATCACAACATTATAGTATATGAAATGAAGATTGAGATTGATGAGATTACTTTGAATAAAATTACATTTAAATGATTAGTATTTTCAAGGATTCGTTTTGAGCATACACAATTAAATATCCAATATCGGCCAATATCCTATATCAAACGATGCCTATAAATTAAAAAGTATATAATACTGACCAATAACCAATATGATACTGATATATTGTGCATCCCTAATTAAATTGAATCTGAACAACAAAAAAAAAAGAGTTTGAAGCAACATTAGAGTGGCTAGGAGATTATACATTTAGAGTTTTTTTTCATCATCTCCTTTATCATCACGTCACTGTTTTCATCCAGGTTGGATGATTGATGCAGAGAGCAGACCTCGCTTCAGGGAGCTCATCGCGGAGTTTACTAAAATGGCACGTGACCCGTCCCGCTATCTCGTCATTCAGGTAAGAGAAACACAAATCTGAATTCTTCACTGGAGTATTGCTGATCACTGATCCGTCTTTTCCTGTTAACAGGGTGATGATCGGATGCATTTACCCAGTCCTTCTGACTCCAAGTTCTACCGCAGTCTGATGAGCGGAGAGCTGGACGAAGCCGTGGATGCAGATGAGTATTTAGTGCCCAATCACAGCTTCTTCAGCAGCCCCAGCACCTCCCGGACGCGGCTGCTGCACTCTGTGGTAATACACACAGACACGCGCTACTGGTCCATATTCAGTTCATGAAATGCCTTCCTTACATACTGTTAGTCATTTCAAATACCAGCTCATTTCTAATATACAGTTTCAACCTCATTATAAAGATGATAATGACACTGTACAACATAACATGACAGCAAGAATGTTTTTTTTCTCAATTGAAAATAAAAGAGATTAAAAATGACACGTTAGCGTTAAACGTTTTTTTCTTTCTTTTATCCAGCAGGGAAAGTCAACATTAAATAAGTGACAGTAAAGTTTTTTTTACATTGTTACAAAAAATATATTTCAAATAAATGCTGTTCTTTTGAACTTTTTATAAAAAATCCTGAACAAAAAAATATCATGAAAATATACAACAAAAAATATTAAGCAGCACAATGTTTTCAACACTGATAATAAGAAATATTTCTTGATCATGTGACACCGAAGACTAAATTACTTTTAAAAATGTATTAAAATAGAAAGCAGTTATTTTAAATTTCACAATATTACTGTTTTTAGATCATGTAAATGCAGCCTTGCTACCTAAATTACCAATATTAAAATGTATACTATTTTGTTTAAATAAATAAAAAATATATAAAATAAATAAATAAAAATAAACTCAATAGTTCAAGTTAAAAATTACGTTTATGTAGGTATCACAGCATCTTAATTACAATATGAAAAATGAGTATTCATTTTCAGTTAAAAACTGTTTTACATTTAAGGGCATGCACAAATATCGGCCAATATACATCCAATATTACACAATGCCAATAAGTGAAGAAATCTCTAATATTAGCCCATAACCGATACTGTGTATTGCGATTCCATTGGAAAAATAATTAGATCAGAGTAGGCGAGCAAAAATCTAATTTAGAGTTCTATATTCTGTACTAAATTATATACTAAATGAATGCAATAGCCCTATGGACAGCCCATCTTAAAACCTCTGTCACAGCTAAACAGTCCTTGCGGTACCAATAATACAGTGACTGGATGCGATATCAAATCTGATATCAGACAGTTTTGTGTGCTTTCACTCAAGAGGACAGAAAGTTCATATTGCAGAGGCGTATGTACCTGGCCTGATTTTCGTCTTCTTCTGGCCTGGCCTCCTTCACCCTCTTCCTGTTCCGCTGTCCTTCTGTCTCTCCGGCCTCTCCCCCGCTTCCTCCCAGCTGCCTCCTGATTAATGACCGTTCCGCAGCAGAAAAGCAAAGCATGCCTGTCCAAGAGGGCTCGCCAGGCCTCAGCGTTCTGAGTGTTTCCTGGCCTCAAGCCTGCCGCTGAGTGCGTGCAAAGCTCCTTCAGCCTTTCAAGTCTGATTGCTTTCACGGGCAACACTTGTTAAATTTTTTTTGGCAGAATGAAGACCTTGAGCTCAGACGGAGTCTTCTATAACACAGTCATTGAGGCATAGCCATTTAAGGCTGTAGTTTCTCTGACAGATGGTAGCTTATTTAGCTTGTGTTTTTTCCCCTAGTTCTTTGTGTTTTATGAACGCGTTTTGTAATGGTCCAGGAGCCTCAATAAGGCTGGGTTCTGTTCTCCTTGCACGTGGTGTTGACTACAAAGATTTATCCAGTCCTCAGTCATCATCTTTATATGTCAGTTGAATGGATTAACCATTGTACAAACATCGACTAGAAATAATGCAAAAAAAATACATTACATTACATGTGTACTACATCACTATCACAAGGGACTTCAAAACGAGATTGGTAGTTGTACAGTACTGCATTTTTTTTTTATGTTGATCTAAATGTTTCATGTCCCCTCCCATATTAAAATGTGTTCATTACAATAAATTAAAATAATGTAGAATGTGAAATAATAATGCTACACTCAGTTGGGGTTGCATTATTAGAATCACCAATATAATTCAAACAAGCTTCCAACACCCACTTGCACTATTTATAGAAAAACTAGTGAAAGATTTATTTCACAACAGTATTTGGTTTACATTACAAATACATACTTGTTTTTAAAGATTTAATAATAAACACATGGTTATTTTAGTTTCAGAGTCTCAACAGCAGCATTGGGAACCATCATAGCAGAAACGGGGTAAGTTACTCATATCAAATCAAATGAAATTATTTTTATTTATAAAGCACAATAAAAACAAGAGGAGTTGACCACTGTGCTGTAAAAAACATACTAAAATAAACATCAAAAACATCAAAAGTGGATACACTTTATAGACTGCAATGCAATAAGGGGAGGAGACATCAAAACACTAATAAGTGATTCACCTTAGAATGTAGGAGCATTTATAAGTTTGGGTTTTTAATATAGAAGTAAATTCAGATTCAGATTAAACTAATCTGGGGGAAACCAGAAGACTATTCCACAGTTTTGGCCCAACGGTGGAAACAACAAGTTATGTCACAACATTTGTCTGAATCTCAGGACCATCAAAAATTATTTAACTACAGCATTTTTCTGTTTTTCAAATTTAAGTGCAGAATCAAAAACAACACCCAAGCTTTTCACAGAAGGTTTTACATATAAGAGAGCAAATCTCCCAAGTCACAATCAGAGATACCTAAAGTGCTTGAAGGCCCAAACACAATAACATCTGCTTTGCTTTCATTAAGATGTAAAAACAAAAAATCTAAGAAAACTTGATATCAGACAGATACACGGCTAAAGGACCTTAAGCCTTTTTTGTCATTGTGCTTCAAGGGCAAATAAATTTGGGAGTCACCATCATAAAAATGAAAGGACACCCCAAGCTTCATAAAAATACAACCCAAAGGAGGCATATATAATGAGAACAGAACAGGGGCCAAAATGGAGCCCTGAGGTACTCCATAATTCAAAACAGAAGTAGATGAAGAAAAACCATCAAGACAAACCTAAAAAGTCAGACATCAAAACAGTATCACATTGCTACCTAATAAATCACACAACCAAATAAATAAATACAATAGATTTTAAGATTGCAATAGCAATTGTTATAGCATGCGCATTTCAGTTTTAATACTTCTACAAAATAAATGATCCTGCATATATATATATATATATATATATATCTGAACAAATGTACTGGAACCAGACAGAAGTGCAAATTACATTTTAAAAGTTGTTGTCATTATTTATTTATTTATTGTTTCTTTAATAAATAGTTACATAGTGTTTAACTATGTTAATAATATTAAATAATATTTTTTATGATGTATTTTCATATTTTGGGTGAAAACCCCAGGTTAATAAAAGTTTGCATAGTTGAAGAAACGCCTACAATATAAAAATGAAATGTAAGACAAAGTTCTACTTGTTATGCAGCTGTACCCAGCTGTGCTTTTGTAATCTTCTAGACAGTCACCTATTGTTAATTTAACTGGTTTAACCATGATGACACTTGCTTTAATAAGCTTTTACTTTCTCTCAGAATGGTTTCCCAGGAAGGGAGAACAGCTTGGTTCTGCGTTACATCGCAGACCCGACAGAACGCTTCCACGAGGGAGACTTCCAACCCGCTCCAGGTTGGAATGGTACAAATTTTCATGCAGCTTTTTTACATAAAACAAAATCATCAGGGGCTGACAGGCTAGTAAGTGCACACTACTTGTGGGCTCTAGGTTTTTGCATTAGGAACAGCCCGTACTTTAAGTCTCTTTTTACTAAAAACACTTTACAGTTACAAGTCTGATTGCAACAGTTACGTTTTTCAAAATATATAATGAAATCATACAAGGTTGTCTGGAGCCCCTAAAGGAATATATTGATGGAAAAAGAAAAATATGAGATGAGAGGAAAAACAATATTTCTTGGGGGGGATGGCAAAGGTTTTGCATGCAAACTCAAAGTTTCTCGGCCAATCACACATCTTTCTCATGCACACACAAGGTTTCTTGGGGGATCGTAAAGGTTTTGCAAGAGACTTCGATCTCATTCTTATTCATCACCAAGTCCCTCAAGGGCCTGCATAGGTTTGGAATGTCATGAGGGAAATTAAATGATTTTAGGTGCCAGTAACTTTAATAGATGCTAACACCATCAGGGTATTTTTGTATGTAGAGTTAGTACATCTTAATGAACTGCTAATTAAAATAATTGATGGAATAAATTGTTTATTTAAACCCATATTGTCCTCTTTCCCAGAATATATCAACCAGAATGAATCATTGATGTCCAGCATGACCAACCCAATATGCCAACACCCTGGACCCCCTCGCACACTTCCGCACTCTTCATCAGCGCTGGATGAAACTGAGGAAGAATACCTGAACTGCTTTAAGAGCCCTGCTGCTGCCTCCCCACCCGAGTATCTGAACATGTCCCACATGCAGCTCCTCTCCAGCCAGCCATTCTTCAGCGTTCAGGGCTTCAACCCCCAGAGCAGCATGGACAACCCGAAGAAACGCCTACAATATAAAAATGAAATGTAAGACAAAGTTCTACTTGTTATGCAGCTGTACCCAGCTGTGCTTTTGTAATCTTCTAGACAGTCACCTATTGTTAATTTAACTGGTTTAACCATGATGACACTTGCTTTAATAAGCTTTTACTTTCTCTCAGAATGGTTTCCCAGGAAGGGAGAACAGCTTGGTTCTGCGTTATATCGCAGACCCGACAGAACGCTTCCACGAGGGAGACTTCCAACCCGCTCCAGGTTGGAATGGTACAAATTTTCATGCAGCTTTTTTACATAAAACAAAATCATCAGGGGCTGACAGGCTAGTAAGTGCACACTACTTGTGGGCTCTAGGTTTTTGCATTAGGAACAGCCCGTACTTTAAGTCTCTTTTTACTAAAAACACTTCAAATTTAGCTTTGAAATCTCAGAATATTAAAATCTTGCCCACTGTGAACAGTTACGTTTTTCAAAATATATAATGAAATCATACAAGGTTGTCTGGAGCCCCTAAAGGAATATATTGATGGAAAAAGAAAAATATGAGATGAGAGGAAAAACAATATTTCTTGGGGGGGATGGCAAAGGTTTTGCATGCAAACTCAAAGTTTCTCGGCCAATCACACATCTTTCTCATGCACACACAAGGTTTCTTGGGGGATCGTAAAGGTTTTGCAAGAGACTTCGATCTCATTCTTATTCATCACCAAGTCCCTCAAGGGCCTGCATAGGTTTGGAATGTCATGAGGGAAATTAAATGATTTTAGGTGCCAGTAACTTTAATAGATGCTAACACCATCAGGGTATTTTTGTATGTAGAGTTAGTACATCTTAATGAACTGCTAATTAAAATAATTGATGGAATAAATTGTTTATTTAAACCCATATTGTCCTCTTTCCCAGAATATATCAACCAGAATGAATCATTGATGTCCAGCATGACCAACCCAATATGCCAACACCCTGGACCCCCTCGCACACTTCCGCACTCTTCATCAGCGCTGGATGAAACTGAGGAAGAATACCTGAACTGCTTTAAGAGCCCTGCTGCTGCCTCCCCACCCGAGTATCTGAACATGTCCCACATGCAGCTCCTCTCCAGCCAGCCATTCTTCAGCGTTCAGGGCTTCAACCCCCAGAGCAGCATGGACAACCCTGACTACCAGCAGGACTTCTGCCCCCTGGAGCTCAAAACCAATGGCCACTTACCGGCTGCAGAAAACGCAGAATACATGGGGCTGGAAGTGCACTAGCACATTACGGAGAAGAGCAACTGTTAAAATTAGCCATTTTACAGTTGGTAAAAGATGGAAGGACATCTATTTATAGCGGATACACAGGCAAACATTTTGCAGAGTTGTCAGACTGCCGCCAATGACAGAACGAGCTTTTCATAACCTGGGCTAAACTGGGTTGGATTGAACAACTATGGCTCTCTCCAAATGTCACAAGAGACTATGAATGACAACAGGATATTAATCCAACGTCGATGCCAGTAGAAATATGCTGGTGTGCTGAAATGGCATATCATGAAACAAGCTCGTCGACACGCATGTAAAGACTGCTTTCTAAGAGATCTGGTTGCGGTCGAGTTAAAGGAATAGTTCACCCCAAAATGAAAATGCTGTCATCATTTACTCATCCTCATGTCGTTTCAAACCTGTACAAGATTCTTTCTTATGCTGAACACAAAAGAAGATATTTTAAAGAATTTTGAAGAACCAAACCAAACTTTGAACAACCAAAGTTGTTGAATACTATTCAAAAAATCTTCTTTTATGTTCAACATAAGAAAGAAACTCATACAGGTTTGGATCGACATGAGGGTGAGTAAATTGTTGGATGAACTATCCCATTAATATTGTTTTAAATGAGCAAACAAATTCGTGTCTGTAATCATAAAACTTAGTTTTAAAGATACAGTTGCACCAAAAAGTATTTGAACACTGAAGTCACATTTAAAAATGTGTGAATTCCATTGCATTGGATACAAAATATTATGTTGTGTGTCGTGACATCTGCCAATAAAAACAGTGTAGTTTATCATATTAATACATGAACATGTTCCACAGTTTTTGTCTTCATTTCGAATAACACTACAAATAGACTTTTAATCTTTATTTTTATTATTAATATTTTTATTCTGCAACAAGTAAACGGATCCAAAGTGACAGTTAAGACTGTAGCATTGTTACAAAAAACTACATTTCAAATCAATATTCGTTTGAATTTTCATTAAAGAATCCTAAAAAAAATCAGTTTTCTCACAAAAATATTAAGCAGCAAAAACGGTTTTCAATATTGATAAGAAATAATAAGATAAGTTTCTTTAATCACCCAATCAGAATATTTATATGATTTCTGAAGGATCATGTCGCACTGATGACTGGAGTGATGATTGCTGATAAAAACGTCATCACAGGAATAAAATACAGAAAATTGTTATTTGAAATTATAACAATATTTTACACAATTACTGTTTTTACTGTATTTTTGATCAAATAAATGCAGACTTGGTGAGCATAAGAGACTTATTTCAAAAACATTGGGGAAAAAAATATGTGAAATGTGTTTTCAATATATTTCTGTACATTAAATGCCCTTTGTTTTGATATTATGGGCTAATGCAAAGCCATTTGTACATTTTAATAGTGGCTCAAGCGTCCAAATTCTTTTTGGGTACACTATATAAGCTGAACTCAGAGGTTGTTTAATTCCTCTCTGCTGTGAATGAAAGTCAAATTTGAGTTAAATTCAAGATTTAACTGCTATGTTTTAGCTGGAAATGTTGGCTGTTGTGGACAGGGCTGTGACGATGAACTGTGTATGGATAGATTTAGCTTCTTCCAAAGGCCAACATATGACTGGTACTTGTACAGAACTGTAATATATGGCTGGTATTTGCATTATTGTATCTAACAGAGTATTTTATCCATTGTCATAAAAACCACATATGGGGTCACTCATATATTCCATGTCTGTTTGTTTGTCCATGTGTCTTCACCCTCCTGTACCTTTCTTGTCTTTTGTAATAGTAACTCTTTTGTAATAGTAAGTCTTTTGAATCTGACATATCTCACAGACTTGATCTCTATGATGGCTATGTTACACAAAACAAAGTAATGTGGTTGGATATCTTAAATTCACTATCCTTCTTGCTTTGATCATTCCTTTGAAAATTTGCTTTTGCCCTCAAAATATGATGACAATGTCCTTTCTTTTCTTTTGTTATATAAGTAAATTCAATAAAGACTTGTTTTTATGAGAGTTGGTCTGTACTTGTAAATTGCGTGTGATAACATCAGTTGTGTTTTAACTGCTATCTAATCAGAGCTAATTTCATCAAAGCTTTTTGAATGAATAATTCTAATTAATAGTCATGCTTGAACTTGACAGTTATGCATATCACCCACTTTTATGATCACAAACGTGTAAACAAGATGCAAGGTTAAAGAACGTCTCGGGTTACGCATGTAACTATGGTTCCCCGAGAGGGAACAAGACGATGTGTCCTCTAGCGGACACAATGGGGAATGCTGCCAGCATGACCGGTGTCTGAAGCACGTGTAAAACAACGCCAATCATATTGGTCCACGTGGCCCGTGACATCATATGCGGTTGCCCGGAAGCATAAAAGGGCACCTGCTGAATACGTCACCAACTTTTGTTGTCTTCAGGAGCCGTCTGTTTGAAGTACGTGTGAGAGACCAAAGCAGGTGAGCGGTGTAGAAAGTGTGTGCCGTGGCTGAGGACACTTGTAGACGCACATGATTTATGCGTCATGTGTCTTGGTCAAGGACTCTGTGACGTCATAGGTGGATGCCCAGATGCATAAAATACTGCTGAATACTTCACCAACTTAATTGTCTGAAGGAGACGTAAAGACGCAGCGTCGCGTTCCCTCTCGGGGAACCATGGTTAAGACGTAACCTGAGACGTTCCCCTTCTAGGGAACTCCACACTGCGTTCTCTAGTGCACACAATGGTGAATGAAATGCCAACTATGCCATGCCAAGGTGCATACCTGTCCACCTGGTGAGAGACCAAGGAAGTGATAGACATACACCAAGCCTTTCCTCAGTAAGGGGCCAAGCCACTGATGCCTCGGGCCACTCACATAACCTGGCAGAATGGGGGAACCCAATTCAGATAAAGGGGAACATCCAACCCAAGTTAAGAACACAGCTATCCTCAGATAGCTATGCAAGCATGGATACACAAGACCACTGAAGAGGCTAAACTATAAAGCCTCTGGGAGAGCTCAAAGAGATCGCTACTTAAATTAAGGAGAGTAGATGCTGAGCTAGAACACAGCAATCCTCAGATAGCTATATCCTAAGGGTCTTATGAAGACTCGTGGACCATTTTAGAATGAACAATACACAGCTAGCTCAGATAGCCAGGTAAGGCCTTCCTGCAAACCTTCCCAGACCACAGAGAGTGGGCTATCTCTTACAACCCTAGCAGGGGAGATAGCACTGTCTAGGCAAGGGCTCAAGGAGACCGCTACTTAAAGACCCTAAGAAGGGAAGCAATCACTGAGCTAGCACATAGATATACTCAGATAGCTATGTACCTAGGAAGGGGCTACCAAGAGGGGGATTGACTGAGACTACCCCGACCACAGAGAGTGAGATATCTACTTACAACCCAAGGAGGGGAGACAGCACAGTCTAGGCAAGGGGCTCAAGGAGACCACTACTTAAAAACCCCAAAAGGGGAGCAGTCTCCAAGTTGGAACACAGCTATCCTCGAATAGCAGATTCCTAGACAAGACTTCAACGCTTACTTGAGAGAGCTTGTGACAAGGGGGAACCCAACCTAGTTATAGAAGACAGGCTAGAACATAGCTGCCCTCAGACCGCTATTTTCCAGAGCAATGCAAGGCCCAACACAGGAAGGAACATTCCCCATAACCACTCTATGTGCTAAAACACCCTGGGAGAGAAAGCTCACAAGCATCTCTCCACAGAGTATTTAAATATCCACACCCAGCAAGACTCTCCACACACAATAACATGCATATTAGAGAGGCACGGCCAAGCTGAATATAGCTCCACCCGTGATCTCGAAAGATCAGGGCTGAAACGACTCTGTGCTCACACTTCATCGTCATAACAACCCAAATGCTTTCTGCGGCATCTGACAAATCATTAGGAGAGGGTGTGCGGATCCCGCAGATCAAAGCAATAACCGCGAGATGAGATAAACTGCTGCGGAAACAGCAGAACCAGGCCGCAAGACACAAACACTTTACCCCACATCCCTCGGGAATAGGAACAAATGCGAGCGGAGCCCAGACATCGTGACTCATAACAATGAGCGCGTAACACCGAACGTGCATGCTCTTCGCCGAGACAAACGCAAAAGCGAAAACTCCTAAAAAGAGCGTCTGAAACCCACGAACCCCTCAATCCAAGTCTTCGCTGTGCCTCGGCAGCAGCGGGACCTGAACCGCGAGATGCAGACGCTTGTCATTCATCTCTCGAGAAGAGGGGTAAACGCAAACGGAGCTTTCTCATTGGAAACACTCACAATGAGTGCATTCAGAGGCCACGAGCACCGAATGCACAAGTCCCTGACCAAGACACATGACGCACAGATCATGTGCGTCTACAAGTGTCCTCAGCCACGGCACACACTTTCTACACCGCTCACCTGCTTTGGTCTCTCACACGTACTTCAAACAGACGGCTCCTGAAGACAACAAAAGTTGGTGACGTATTCAGCAGGTGCCCTTTTATGCTTCCGGGCATCCGCCTATGACGTCACGGGCCACGTGGACCAATAGGATTGGCGTTGTTTCACACGCACTTCAGACACCGGTGCATGCTGGCAGCATTCCCCATTGTGTCCGCTAGAGGATGCAGCATGGAGTTCCCTAGAAGGGGAACCAATGTTTTGGTAGCTTATACCCAGCTAACTAAAAATGCTCTGCTAACAGTCCCATTTAAGTTCTTAAAATGTTATACAAGCTTTAAGGGAACATTGAATTTGATCATTTTGCAACTATATATATATATATGCAGGAGAATTTATTTAAATTGTAGAAGTATTAAAACTGAAATACGCATGCTATAACCACATGCTATAACAACTGCTACTGCAATCTTAAAATCTATTGTATTTATTTATTTATTTGCAATTCTGAAACAAGTATGAATGATTAAAAAACGTTAGACAAATGTCCAACTAAAACATTTTAGAAAAAAGTTCCATGTATGATGTATAAACAATGTTTGCTGACGTTTTGAGAATATCATTAAAAATCAAATAGCTTTGAATAAACATTTTATTAACATTCTTAGAAGAATATTTGTTCCTAACTTTGGGAGAACCTTGCCAGAACATTATCCAAAGTTCTGAGAACATTCCCTGTTAGCTGGGAAGGAGTTGACAGTTTCACCAAAGAGGTGCGCTTGTACAAAAGGGGGGAAATGCAATAGTAACCTCAGAAAACATAATTCATCATGACAACTAAAACAACAAAAAATGTAATATAAAACTAGCTAATAGTTTATTCAAATTATTAAAGTTTTAATTTTAAGGGTGGACTGTGCTTGAACTCAATTTGCCTAATACTTTTTTTAATGCTTTATTTGAACCTTCAGTTTACACTATACAACAAATTAGAACACAATAATTAAAAATAATAGCAATAGAGAGAAAGAAAGAAAACATGAACAACCAATTGGAACATAATAAATAGTAAAGGAAAAAAGAAAGAAGATGGTATTATACAGAATAATTAAATACGGTAGAAAATTGTGTAGGCTGTGCAAATTGTACATGTTCTGAGTGCTTTCTTGTTAAGTGAAATTAAAAGTAATTTTTTTATCTCTTGTAAAAAATACTACAAAAACAGGTTTACAATTCGAAAATGTACATGTGTAAAAATATATTATCATAAGAAGAATAAGATGAGAATTAAGTTTATTACAAAACAGGCATTGGGATCCGCTTCAAAAAACTCCAAAAATAGTAAATTTGGGATTCATTGACAAGTCTTGTAAGATAATATTCGAGATAAACAAACTAAAATCTTTCCAGAGCTGATAAGTAAAACTACATGACAAAAACAAATGAAGAAGAGTGTCATTCTGGCAAAAGGAACATTTTGTGTCAAAATCAGATCCACGTTTTCTTCAGAGAGCTTTTGAAAGAGTAAATGTCATGGAGTAATTTAAAATATATTTATTTAACTTTATTAGAAAGGAAAAACGTTTGCTGCATGGACCATCAATTTGCCTAATAATACAATCACGCGTCCAGTCAAAACATTTGCCTTTCAGCAAATCAACCAGGCCTGCTTGGCGAACGTCACGTTACTAATTAATATTCATAAGTCACGCTGTCGCTATTTTAGGTGCAGTTCTCAGATTCAACCTCTAGATGTCACCGCTACATTAAACAAGAGCTTCTAATTCCCACCTCATTCAGCGCTACAGCGATCTGTGTTACACACTCTAGACCAGGGATCCTCAAATCTGGCCCACGAGATCCACTTTCCTGCAGAGTTGAGCTCTAACCCTAATCAAACACACCTGAGCATGCTAATCAGTGTCTTCAGGATCAATAGAAAATCACTGGTAGCTAGCTGAGTTTGATCTTTTACATTATGAATGTGAATTCTATGCTTAATCAATATATGTATATATAACAGATGGGTGTTTTTGTTTGCCCTTTTGCAGCTTCAAATGGAGGACACTCCAAACACACTAGTGGCTGTACTACTTGATGAAAAGGAGCTATGCACAAAACTGCAGCATCTCAAGAGTGCAGCAGAAATAATTGATGCTTCCAAATGTCTCCTCCCCTGTGCTGCAGAGTACCACCGAATTTTACAATTTAACGCTGACTTTAATTAATTTATTGACACCGACCTAACTGAGAAAGTGGAAGCCTTGGACAAGTTTCAAGTTTTGTTTAAGTCGATTAAGAGAAGTGGATCACATGCATTGGTATGTAATTTCCCTTTTCAGTAACATAACTAATAATAAATGACGTGTGTCATGTATACAGATTCCAGTATTATTGTACTTTTCTTAAGCATTAAATATTAATATTGCTTTTCAATTTTGAGCATGGCAAGTGGCATTTCCATTCAAACATGGTGTGGGATGATGATGATTACAAATGATAATGTAAAGTAGTACAGTATTTATCTACATTTTCTTTTTTCATTAGCATAGTACATAATGGTAGCTACTAGCTAATGAAAACTCATATTAACATGTCAATGGTAAACACACTTTACTAGTTTGGGATTGTTTAACTTTGTATTTATTGTATGATCATCCACCATAGAATGCTTCAGTATTTACCTACAGTATTACACATCACACTTTTGTGTCACATACAGTGGGTACGGAAAGTATTCAGACCCCCTTAAATTTTTCACTCTTTGTTATATTGCAGCCATTTGCTAAAATCATTTAAGTAAATTTTTTTCCTCATTAATGTACACACAGCACCCCATATTGACAGAAAAACACAGAATTGTTGACATTTTTGCAGATTTATTAAAAAAGAAAAACTGAAATATCACATGGTCCTAAGTATTCAGACCCTTTGCTCAGTATTTAGTAGAAGCACCCTTTTGATCGAATACAGCCATGAGTCTTTTTGGGAAAGATGCAACAAGTTTTTCACACCTGGAGTTGGGGATCCTCTGCCATTCCTCCTTGCAGAGCCTCTCCAGTTCTGTCAGGTTGGATAGTAAACGTTGGTGGACAGCCATTTTTAGGTCTATCCAGAGATGCTCAATTGGGTTTAAGTCAGAGCTCTGGCTGGGCCATTCAAGAACAGTCACAGAGTTGTTGTGAAGCCACTCCTTCGTCATTTTAGCTGTGTGCTTAGGGTCATTGTCTTGTTGGAAGGTAAACCTTCGGCCCAGTCTGAGGTCCTGAGCACTCTGGAGAAAGTTTTCGTCCAGGATAACCCTGTACTTGGCCGCATTCATCTTTCCCTCAATTGCAACCAGTCGTCCTGTCCCTGCAGCTGAAAAACACCCCCACAGCATGATGCTGCCACCACCATGCTTCACTGTTGGGACTGTATTGGACAGGTGATGAGCAGTGCCTGGTTTTCTCCACACATGATGGGTGTTTTTGTTTGCCCTTTTGCAGCTTCAAATGGAGGACACTCCAAACACACTAGTGGCTGTACTACTTGATGAAAAGGAGCTATGCACAAAACTGCAGCATCTCAAGAGTGCAGCAGAAATAATTGATGCTTCCAAATGTCTCCTCCCCTGTGCTGCAGAGTACCACCAATTTTTACAATTTAACGCTGACTTTAATGAATTTATTGACACCGACCTAACTGAGAAAGTGGAAGCCTTGGACAAGTTTCAAGTTTTGTTTAAGTCGATTAAGAGAAGTGGATCACATGCATTGGTATGTAATTTCCCTTTTCAGTAACATAACTAATAATAAATGATGTGTGTCATGTATACAGATTCCAGTATTATTGTACTTTTCTTAAGCATTAAATATTAATATTGCTTTTCAATTTTGAGCATGGTAAGAAACAGTTCAAGTGGCATTTCCATTCAAACATGGTGTGGGATGATGATGATTACAAATGATAATGTAAAGTAGTACAGTATTTATCTACATTTTCTTTTTTCATTAGCATAGTACATAATGGTAGCTACTAGCTAATGAAAACTCATATTAACATGTCAATGGTAAACACACTTTACTAGTTTGGGATTGTTTAACTTTGTATTTATTGTATGATCATCCACCATAGAATGCTTCAGTATTTACCTACAGTATTACACATCACACTTTTGTGTCACATACATTGTAATCCTGATTTCATATAAACACAACTTAAAAAAAAAAAAAATCACCATGCCATCTGGCCCATTGACACTGTTTTTTGCCAGGAGCGCCATTCATACCAGAAACAGACAACTTTATAAATTAAACTTATCCATTGATAAAATATTACTTTAACATTTTTGTGCATAACAAGAGTAGATGCAGTTTAATTTTATTTAATATCTTTATTATTGTAATTATTGTACTTCTTGTTACTTTTGTTGTCCTTTAAGGATGAAAAATTGGATGTAGATGCAGCCAGTCCAAGTCGTCAACAGAATGTATGTTCATGGAGTACTTGCGTATACTGATACAAGTAATATACTTTTACATATTTTAACTGCCTTTTTTTTTGTTTTTTTTGAAGGTTGCACCAAAGAACACACAAGAAGCAGGTCCAAGTAGTCAACCGAAGGTTTGTATATATAACTGAGTGCTGAAATAACAGCATGCTTTTCACTATTTTTATTACTCTGCCCATTCCACAGAAACTAATAGTCTGTACACTTGCACATCTGTATATTTTGCCAGTAGATGTCTTTATGAGTGTGAGAACCATTCAACCAGTTCATTCAAAAATGTGGATTCATTCTGGAACAACAAGTGAGTGACTTTGAGTAACTGAATCATTAACTTATCTAATTAGAACTACATTGTGCTTTTTATATTTCCAGCATCAACATACTAGAATTGATGTAGACACACTGCAAGCACTAATTGAAAGCAAAGGTCCGAGTATATTTAACATTTAGTCATTTAGCAGACGCTTTTATCCAAAGCGACTTACAATTGGGGGATACATAAAGCGATTCTTCTTAAAGAGGCAAACAGACACAAGAAGTGGTTGTAATACCAAGTTCTTAGACATTGTTCAAATAAGTACAAGCTAGAAAGAGAAGGAATAAATAAAGAGAGAGATACTTTTTTTTTTTTTTTATGATGAAGTCAAGTAGCTTCGAAAGAGATGAGTTTTCAGCTGTCGCTTGAAAATTGTCAGGGATTCAGCATTCCGGATAGGAGTGGGAAGATCGTTCCACAAATAAAAAAAAAGTTTGTCTTTGTAATCTTTAGTCATAATCTGGAATTTTGCTTTCCTTCTGAAATGCTGTTCCTTCTCTTACGTTATGCTTTAAACATCCTTTAACCACTCCCCTCCAACCATTGGTCTGCTGCAAGCTAGAGATTAAGCTGCACTAAAATCAAGCCTCACCCTTTTTTTTTTCATTCAGTTTAATTCAAATCATAATACTGCTGTATAGTTTTTTCTTTTTACTAATATTCATAACTTGGAATGGCCCACAATGCCTCTCTGAAGTTAAGATTGCATAAACTTGACTTGAAAACTTGACTCGTTTTTGTGAACATACTGAGGAAACAGTAGTGTTGTAATTGTGTATTCTATCCTGTGTTGTAGCTTGACACGGAGTTTGGAAAAATGTTTCCTGGGAAGGCTGACCTCTTTCTTCGAAAATGGGAAGGAAATATTGTTAGCTTTATTTTTTGTTTGTTAGTTTTCTGTGCAAGCACTTTGATGTTACTAAATAGTAATTAGTAATCACTAATTTAATATCTAAATTAAGATATTTTTTGATGAAATCCGAGAGCGCTCTGATCCTTGATTGCGTTGTTGTCTACGGAGGATCAGAGAGCTCTCAGATTTCATCAAAAAATATCTTAATTTGTGTTTCTAAGATGAACAAAGGTCTTACAGGTTTGAAACGACATGAGGGTGAGTAATTAATGACAGAATTTTCATTTTTGGGTGAACTATCCCTTTAAGAGAAACTCCAGTCACTTGAACTGTGTTGAAAATGGATTTAATAAAATGTACTTTTATTTTTACAGGCTGGAACCAGCATCTCCAGCCTCCTGGATAATTCCCAGACAATGGTGGAAAGCCATCAACCCCACATTGTTGGTTTAGGAGCCCCAAGTTCTACAGCGCAATACATCATTGTGGCCGAGAATGACAAAGTCACCATTCCACTTGAGGATAACAGTCTGACGTGTGCCATCGACAAGCTGTTTAAAATGTATTGGGTTTGCAATGTAGAATATCCTATCCAACTCACATCTGTCTTTAATTTCTTTGAAAATGTGTATGACATTCCTTTCTCTGGTGGGAAGAGATCTAAAGTTGTGGAGCTTATTTCAAAGTGTCAAGCACTTTCCTAAATTGTACCACCATGTACATATGTCCGAAGTGCAAAAAATCAACTTCAAAAGACATCCGGAAACTTATAAGTCATCTTAGGCATGTCCATGCACTTTCTGATGGACAGGATTATACAATTGTTTGTAGTCAAAACAATTGTCAACGAACATACCATAACTTCAATTCTTATACTAAACATCTCAATAGAGAACATGCTCAAGCTGCAAACCCAGTACATTTAGAACAAGACCCTGACACCAGCATCACATCTGTCTTTAATTACTTTGAAAATGTGTATGACATTCCTTTCTCTGGTGGGAAGAGATCTAAAGTTGTGGAGCTTATTTCAAAGCTTCAAGCACTTTCCTAAATTGTACCACCATGTACATATGTCTGAAGTGCAAAAAATCAACTTCAAAAGACATCCGGAAACTTATAAGTCATCTTAGGCATGTCCATGCACTTTCTGATGGACAGGATTATACAATTGTTTGTAGTCAAAACAATTGTCAACGAACATACCATAACTTCAATTCTTATACTAAACATCTCAATAGAGAACATGCTCAAGCTGCAAACCCAGTACATTTAGAACAAGACCCTGACACCAGCATGAGTGAGGACTTCTCAGCTGCATCATGCTCTGCTGCTGTTGATATTCTAGAGACTAATTTTGATGGCTCCAGTAATTGCAGCACTTCTGATTACCAAAGCTGTGCAGCAGCATTTGTTGCAAAAATGTACTCATCTTCAAATTGTACCCTGACTGATGTGCAAAGAAGCATCACATGCACAAAAGAACTACTTTGTGAAACCCTGGACTGTTTGCAAGAGAGAACTACATCTCTGCTTAATCGTTACTCTGTACCCAATGATGAATTGCAGACTTTGATGGAAGATTTTGAAAGAGGACGAAATATGTTTGAGGAAGTTGATACCCCCTACAAAATGACCAAGTATTTTGCTGAAAACCACTCTTTTATCAAGCCAACAGAAATCTTCCTTGGAAACAGAGGTGACACTGCAAGAAAGCAAGGTACATTAACTCAAGTGTTAATAGCAGATACATGTCAATACATATCTATTATTGATACTCTGAAGTTTCTTTTTGACAATGAACAAATGCAAAAGCTCTTTGTGGATTCAACCGAAAGTGATGATAAATTGCATGACTACTGTGATGGCTCACATTTTAAAAATCACAAATTGTACAGTACATTTCCTCAAGCTTTACAAATTCAACTTTATTTTGATGATTTTGAAACAACAAATCCTTTAGGCTCTAAAACCAAAGTTCACAAAATGGGAGCAGTTTATTTTTGTTTGAGGAATTTACCTGCTAGATTTAACTCGTCTCTTGAAAACATCCACTTATATTTGCTTTTTAATTCAATTGACAAAGAAGTTTATGGTTTCAATTTGACAAGTTCAGCCAACTTAAAGATGTAAGTTAAGCTTAGTGCACAGAACTCAAACAAAACAGTTCTCTTAACAAGTCTGCTTTGTTCACATTACTAGACAAATGTGTGGAAACTGATTGCCTTAAATTTCTCAAGTAAGCTGTACTCAAAACTTAAAAGTTGTTAATACAAAGACAGAAAACCAATTGTTAGCACAACAATAGGGCATTTATTTGTTTAAAACAATGTTACTTCAAGTCATTATTTTTTTCGGCATGCTATCAAATCAACAATTTAACACCGTAAGAAAAATTGCACATACTGCACTCAGGAAATAAATAGAAAATAAAACAAACTTCAACATCCCTTTTATGACACCTTGTAAATCTAGATTTACCATTTTCTAGAATTACCTTTTTCTAAATCAATAATGATCAATCATGAACAATTACACTGAAAAATTAAAGACAAAAGAAAAAAGGAATGTACTATTTGATCTTTTAATGGCCAATAAAAAAAGACTAATCATGAAAGCAATGAATGAATAAATTAAATATTAATACATCAATAAATAGTTAACATTATAAAGGAATGTACAACAACAACATAAAACACTCAATGAGTAGATCATCAACATAAAAATACATTAATTAATTCATAAATAAAATGGTACATTTCAAAATGTAAAAAAAATGCAATTTAAAAAGAGAATTACGAATACAGGTCTAATCAGGAATAAGGGCAATTATGTTTCACATTTGCCTTTCCATTTCCCTGCTGTTTTTCCTATTAGCTATTCAATTTGCCTAGTCATTTAGCTTCTGCTTTTAGCCTCTCTATTTAGCAATGAATATGGTGGGATGGACAAAGCAAGTTATATTTTGAGCTTGCGAATTGATCTATTAACAATTAATTTATATTTTCTTTGCAATTACATTTAATTTACATATAATACATCTACTTTTTTTATTGCCAATCAAACGAACAAATGATGACTGACTTTTTCATTCAGCCTGTTTCAAAAATAAATTTATTACTGCCTGTTTTATTGTAAAACATTTGTACAATCAGTTCTTAAGTACGTTCATGGACACATGAGTGCACACACATAAAGCGTCTTATATGTTAATTTATGTGCACATATAAATTATATATGTGTCCACATATTTGCGTCATATATGTTCTGCATTATAAATACTGTAGGCTATAGAATCTTATCTCTTTCGAACCGAGCTGAGTTGTACAAATGTTTGATTAAATCTATCACCAACACCAACGATAATACTAAGATAAACCGCTAACCTAACGTAGCATTTAAAAACGGACCCTTGGCCGTCACAGAAAAAAAAAAGTGATTGACAGCATGTGAAAGCCTATCACTGTCTTGGAAACGTGACTACCTGTCAAATTGGATCCTTTTTAGCATTGCGGTTCTCAGGTTACACAAAACTCATACAAAGTAAAAGTAGCTTGAAAACATAACATGCACCAAAAAAGCCCAGTAAAGTACAGAAAATAAATGACTGCAGTTCAATTATATGCTAAACACAGAAGAAACATTTTATACTGTAAATTAGAGTATGTAAGTTTCAAACAAGTGTTAAAAAAAGCTAATAAAACAATTTCATAAAACACTTGCAATTAAGAGGACAAAAGGTAGTCTGCAAAGTTAAATTTTTATTGACGTTTAAATGAAAAGATTCACCTGGCTAAACTAATTTGGCTCTTGCACCCTGTAAAATACCCTAATTAGAAATGTATACCTTATCTTTGTAGTTCACAAAGACATAAAAAAACATCGTTTGCTATTATTATTATCTGTGTGAATAGTAGAAAACTATCATGTTCATATTTTGATTGGAACAAATATATTTTTAGAGTTTTCCTTGGTTTTTATTTTTTCTTAGTTTTTTATTGAAAGCTTGATTTTCAGAAGACTGCAGTACATGCAATGTAAACAAGAGTTTTATAAAAACTGAATTACAGACAGATGGTTGGATAGGCGTTATGTAACCTGTGTTATGACATTTCACAATAGATGCAAATGCAAATATGTACTTTTTAAGCAATTAAACACAAACAAATTATGAGAATATGATTTTATTAGGTGTGTGCATTAGTGTGCAGCAGAGTCAATAAATGTCCGCTGGTGCTGAAGCCACAGTAGACACTGTTGTGCAGTCTGATGGG